ATCAAAGTTTCCTGGCTGAGAGATGGTAAACCAGTGACCTCTGAAATGACCTCCACTATGGAGATGGCTGATGGTGACTGGTACTACCAAATTCACTCTGAGCTGGAGTACACCCCCAAATCTGGAGAGAAGGTCTCCTGTATGGTTGAGCATGCTAGCTTCAATAAACCCATGATCTATGACTGGGGTAAGATGAGACACATATGCCTGGTTTTGCAGACAGGGCTTAGATTAAGCCAGGATTAGGCCAATTAGGACATTTAAGGCTACGTCTACATTAATCCGGATACTTCTGAAAACGGCGTTTTCGTTTTTAAAACGCTCTCCGTCCACACTAGCGTTTTCCAGAAGTGTCTCATCCACACTGAAACATCAGAAAACGTTAAACTCGCTTTCTGCGCATGCGTAAATCCTAAGCGTAAAACGATACACACATGAGATGTTTTCATGCGGTTTTTCTGACAGGATTATTCTATTTACGAAAACGACTCACCATTCACTGACGCGTCCAGGTCGCACACACTCACGATTGTGTGTCTGATCTAAAACGCAACTGCCCTCATGTTTTGCCGCAAATAGCGATCGCGAGTAAATTTGCTTTCATCTTTGCTGGACTGTGATATGAAGAGTGTTCAAAGTAACACAGCTATAGCAATAGTGTGAAAGTGCATTGCACATAACGTGCACGATACCAGTATAAACACGGATATCTATTGGTATAATATGCGTCACATGACTAAACGTGCGTCATCGTTTTCAAAAGCACACTACGACGCAAGAACGGCGTTTTCAGATTGATCCACTTTGGAGAGCGTTTTGAAAAAGCTGAGTTTTCCTTGATTAAAAACGCCGTCTCCGTGTGGACGGAAGGCCAAATCGGAGAGAAAAAGATGCGTTTTCAAACGAAAACGTATTAGTGTGGACAAGGCCTTTTATAAACGTGCCTTAGAAAAAAACATGAGTGGTGTCCCTCTTGAGACAAAACGTTCAGTCAGTGCAAGTTTCTTTCAGCTGAAACAGCTCAGTCTGGGACTAGGCTTAAGACTTGTCTGTGAAACCGGGGGCTACTGTCATATTATAACTGTGTTTGTGGTAAGCATAATTGAACATATGATATTTGACATGCTGTACTCCACAGATCCGTCTCTCCTTGAGTATGAGAGGAATAAAGTTGCTATTGGAGCCTCTGGTCTGGTGCTGGGAATCATCATCACAGCTACTGGACTCATTTACTTCAAGAAGAAATCAACAGGTATGTGGAGATGAGAATAACTCAGATTCATATTATACTGCGTACATCATCCTTGTACACGCATGTAACTTGTTAATCTTTTTTTTTTCTTTGACAGGAAGGATCCTAGTACCTCAGCAATGATGGTAGATTGCTCATTCAATTTTGATAACTCACTTTGATTAATTATACATATTTTCATTCTTAATTATGGGGGACAAATAATGACAAATGTACAATTTGCACAGAGCTTTGTGACATGATCACAGCTTATTTAGTTTCCAGTTATGTATGTTTTCAATGTGCTGTAAACTGTAATCACCTGTGGTTTTCCATCCTGGTCCTGGGGACATTTTCTGTCTCTGTTATCTGACACACTCAGGTTATGTTTATGCAATAGTTTTGCATGCAGAGAACAATGTTATCAAAACAACACGGATCGACTAAAGTAAACTTTGTAAAGAAACACAACACGCCTGCACACATACACACACATGCGCTGAATGCAAACAGTCAAGATGCATGCACACGGCATCACTGCTTTCACAAACAACGTTTTAATAACTATTCTGTGTGATTTATGTGTAGTAGAATAACTGTCTATGCCACTTTTCTAAATATTCAGATTAGTAGCACTGCCAGTGTTGCTGTTTAAGATTGAAGATGTTTTATCATTAAATTCATTCAACTATTTTATGTTTTTTAGTCAAATTCATTTGGAAATGAAAACATGAAAACAAGTATGAAATATAATCATAACTATGTCTAACAATGATAGAAATATAGCACAAAGTCTGATACTTTTTTTTTATTGTAAGCATTATATGAATAAAAGATCATATTTGAGTATACGATCTTATTCAACGTTAACAGTGATGTATGTGATGTCTGATGTATTGTTCTTGCTGAGTTCCTCTCTTGTATTTGTACACAGTAATGTACTATTTACTTTGATCTTGCATTGAAATATACAACAAAGGTAAACATTGTAACTGTCCCAGTGAAACTTCAAAGGGGCAAAATCACAAAATAATTTAGGGGAGGGTCCCTCAACTGAAAACGACACAAAACACAGTACGCCATTACAAAGTGTTCATATAAAATAAAGGCAATACACAGATCACTACAGCATATGCATGAAAAACATGAGTGCAAAACAACCCGTTGCGTTTATCATTTATCAAAATAAAGGACAAAACAAAAACATATCTGGTTGAATAAATACTCGTCTCTAAGCCGAAGCATGCACTGACCCTTACCAAAAAGTAGTATACTTCAAGTTTATTTTAGTAAGTATACTTAAAGGGGTCATATGATGCGATTTCAAGTTGTCCTTTCTCTTTGGAGTGTTACAAGCTGATTGAGCATAGATAAGATCCCTGAAGTTGCAAAGACTAAAGTCTCAAAACCAAAGAGATATTCTTTATCAAAGTTAAGACTCTGCCACGCCCCCCTAAAACGGTTCGTTCTAACACGCCCCCACATATCTTCCTCACTATGTGGAAATATTAGCATAATGCGCCCAAATGTGCACGCAAAGAAAGAAGGCATGGTTTCAGTAACCGCAGTTAGTGTTGAAGCAGCATGTCAGGGAGACGCTGTGTGTTTCTAGACGAAAGCAAAAGCACTTTATTTGGCCTTCCGGAAGTAGATGCATTTAGGAATCTTTAAGATTACTTACAACAGAACAGCAATGCATTTTATGGACCGTTGAGTGCCATGAAACAGCTTGAAAGATCAAAGACAATTTTTAATATAACTCCGACTGGATTCGTCTGAAAGAAGAAAGTCATATACACCTAGGATGACTTGAGGGTGAGTAATTTATGGGCTAATTTTCATTTTTGGGTGAACTAACCCTTTAAGGGTCTTATAGGCAAGTAATAATATTTTGTAACTGATACGGAACTTAA